AAAACAGGCAATGCTATCTTGTGATATTAGGTACTGGAAAGAAGCCAAAATATGGTAGAGGATGTTTGAGCCAGATTGTCTGTCTGAAGGCTGATGATAAATACTTTTGTCTACTATTAGCTACCTCACAGAGGCCATACATGGTATGACAGTCACCAAAGCATCCTAACCACAGCTCTTCTAACACAGCTGTTTTTTTCATGTGCCCTTTGGTGCTCACAATATATATTAGCTTTCTATAGATATATAACTAATCTATTTTCAAAATGCCTGATGAAATGAAGGGACTCTTACGTGTATTTTTAAAAGTGAGCACCAACAGTTATTTAAATATCATGGACAAAATTAGCAGTTCTGTAGCAGAGGAGTACAGAGATGTGTTTTTGAGTGTGGTTGTTCTTTTCACAATGCCTAGCCTTTTCTGTTTATTTTTGTGATCGGGCATAGGTTCCATTGACCTTGTTTTTATTTTTGCATATGTCACATTTTCTGCAGACCCTGCTCTGTGTTTATCTCTGGCTGAATGTGCCATGTAAGGACCTTGGTTAAAGGGATTCTCCCCAACAAGTCACAGCTGTATATACAGTAGGTTATGTATCAGTGCTGATCTTTGGAATGATCTTGGTTAACTGTTATGCAAGCTGGAGGCATGTACCAGGAGGAACAGAGGGATCGTAAAAGGTTTCTCAAAGCTCTGGCTAAGATTTCTTTTCCTTCTTAAGAATAAAGTGTATTCTGAAAACCTTATACTGGTAGAAGTAACACTGAAAATTTCATGAGACTGTTGCAATTACTAGGAAAGGACCAGAGAGCAAAGCAGTAGACCTTATGGGCACCATTGGGCTCCAAGAGCTTGAATGTTGTGTGCAGTTCAAGTCAGTGCATCATAAAACTGGAAAGGGAGACTACAAAAAGGAACAGGTAGATCACAAGCTGTGGATCAACCTCATCCTGTTGTGGAGTGATGCTTACTCAAAAAGGCTGAATTTTATCAGCTTGGAAAAGAGGCAACAGACAAGAAACTTTGAGTAAAGCCTGTAGAGACAGTGACTAAGGAACAATTATTGGCTATTCCTTGCAATACAAGGACTATCAGAGCATAACCAGTGAAATTCACATAAGAGCTTTAAAGTTAGCAAAAGAACATATATTTTAAAACAGTAAGTTATGTTACTTGCTGTAGGATGGTGTAAAAGCCAGAAGTATGGGTGTCATCTAAAACGGATTAGGCAAAATCATGGAGTGTAGGTGCATCGCATACAACTAAACACAATGTTCGGGGTGAAGTCTCAGCTTTAGAAGTCTTTTAATTACTTATAGCCTTAATTAAGAGGCTTTTTTAAAAGAAGAATCATTCTATCCTGTATCTATCATGCTTTTCCTATTCTCCAAAATTCTGTAGCTGGCCACTGTTGGAGATAGGATACTGTGCTGGTTGGATTTTTGGTCACACCCTGTATCACTGTTTTTATGACTTGCCCAACATTGCATAGGAACTCTGTGGCAGAGGAGGCAATCCAGTCTCTTGGGAAGCATTCAGCTGCTTTAACCACAATGCTATATTTTCTTTTCTCATAGTATCTTACCTCATTCACTGCACTGTCCAATTTCTCTAACATGTGAGGGAAATGTCCTGCAGACAGCACTCATTTGGCCCACACTGCTGAATTCTTGGAGTACAGTTTACACCATTAATTTCCCAATCAGTGAGGCATACCTCAGTGGTGAGGTGTGCCAACAGTAGATACACAGCACTAAACCCAAGCCAATAAGCTTTGCTGGACTTACTAGCATGGGCTGTATGCCAGTGCTACAGGAGTTGGTTCAAAAAAAGGAAAAAAAAAAAAAGGAAAAAAGAGGGGTGGGGTGGAAGAGCAGAAGTGAGGGGGTAGTCTGGAAAAGAAGAGAGATGAGGCAGTAGATTAGTGATGGTAGGAAGGAGGGATCTGGAAGAAGGAGGGAAAACTGTTCTTGTATCCTGAAATACAGCTCAAGTATCTAAAATTAAGGCTGAATTAGGCTACCTTAAACCTCACACTTAAAGTATGAAACATAATTTAGATAAAAATGAACATGTAGAACAGCAATGTCAGGGAAAAACGCTTAGCTAAATTTTAAATTTTTGAAACTTTAGAAGCTTTAGAACTTGTTTTTTTCCCCCACATATATAGTGTGCTGTAGTACAATAAGCATGGACATTAATATGGTGTCAGAGAACAAGCTGAGGAAAGCTGTTTTGGTTTACAGTTCTGTAAAACAGTTCAGTTTTGCAGTTCTGTATTCAAAGTGAAGTTGAGTTTTGCTCTTAGATCAGGGAATTAACCTCTTTGTAATGAAAGGGGAGTGCCTTAGGTTTCCAGAATTTCAGAAACTTTCATTGTTGTTAGTTTGACTTTAAATAATACAAAATGAATCCTCCAGGCACCAAGTGCCAAGTTTCTACAAATGCCTTTGAGAGATGGAAAAGAACGAAGGACTGATAATTTCTTGAGTGCAGAATAGCGTTCTGATTCAAGATGTCAAAGCATAGACTGTGAGCAGTGAGTGAAACTACATCAGTCAGCCTTGTATGCTGACAAAGTGTTTTGAATAGTGCGGTGGACTGAGTTGTGGAGACCAGTTTACATCCAAGTTGGTTATTTGCCATACAAAGTAAAACAAATGGAGGCTGACAGAGGGAAGAAGAATTTCACAGTGTGTTAAATGGGAATATTTGGAGTGACTATTTCAGCAATGTGCTACGTTAGAATTAAGAATAGTTTTTTTATTTTGAAGTAATTCTCCCTACTACAGAACATTCTTCAGTGGTGACTCAATGTAGAGCTAATCTCACTCAAAATGGTTGCCATTTGCCACTTGGAACAATAGGACTGAAGCCACAGGCTGCCATCAGGTGGCTGTTTTTAAGAAGGGCATTTTTTTCCCCAGAGGATTTGAGTGTTTCTTCCCATCTGATAACATAGAAGATCTCAATATTCACTAAATTCTTGTAATAAAGGACTTTGAAAACAGTGCAGTTACTCATTACTTTATCTGAAATGGAGAACCCATTGCACCAGATAATTTATTTTATGGAAAAAAAAAATTAAACCTTAATCTGTTTTCAGGAACAACTCTTTGCATATGATTTATATGTCATAATACTGGCCAGTGCTTTTTTCTTGAAGTACTCAGTTCCCCTCTGGGCAGGGGCATCTTTTCCCTATAGTGTGAATGAGGAAGTTAAGCAGCGGGAGAAAGGAATGATTTCCATACTGTCATAAAGGGAAGTGATTTCGCTGGAACAGAAATCCAGCCATCTCTATCCTCTGTTAGGGTGAGATCCAGCAAGCAGGCTAGTCTGCTCTCTCCACAGCGGCATAATGCAGCAGTGTAACACAAGTCTGCTTGTGTGCTCCTGGGTGCACCTGGGCTCAGGAGCCATCAAATGAGTAGATTGGACGTAATAGAGTATGCCTGGTGTCTTCCCAAGAGCTGTGTTGCTTGTACCGGGGCTCAGAAGTGGAGTGAGTGGCTTTGATAGAATCCCGGACCTGAGGGGCTGGGGGGGATGTCAGACAAAACGGGGGAATGCATCTAATTCCTGCTGTCAGATAAGCTGAAGTACGATGAGAAAGTTGCCTTGCCTTTCAATAAAGGAGGTCATGTTCCTTTGCATACAGCCTATTCTAGAGCCTTGTCTCATGTAGTTGCAGGCTTTGGCTTCACCTGTACTTCCATTTTAAATAGGTTAGAGAGATTGTGCTGGTATCTGTTATGACATTGGACCTGACAAAAGAAGTGTATGTAAAACTAGATGTGCTGTTTGGATTTTGTCCAGTGAATGAGAGTGCAAAGCAGGGGCAGAGCGTGAAGGAGGCTGGGAAGGTAATTTCTTGAGAATTTGATGTTGAAGGAAGAGGAGACAGTCTAGAAGCAAACGGGAGGCTGTACCTGTTTGGACACCTATGCTTTCAGAGTCAGTTGGCTCCTTTCCCTCTAGAATGTCCCTAACACCTTAAAATGTTTTCACATGGGCAGAAGTCATATATTGGAAACAAATCTGTTGAAGTATACTAGGTGTCAAATTGAAAAGGGGGTCAAGTGATAGGTCTTGGAGAGAAGAGTTAAGGAAAATTGAAGCACAAAGTGGGGAAACTGGGATATGAGAAGGCATTGTGGCAGCTGGAGTTTGAAACAGAACTTATGTAAACTTTACTGGTTTGTATATTGCTCCAGGATGGCTTATAATATATAAACACAAATCTGACCAGAAGGTAAACTTTGAAAAACGATTTAAGATGGAACTCTCTATCTTCAGGTTGTAAAAAACGTCACAGCTATTTTCTTGCGTATTTTTTGCTTGCTGCTATGTAAGCTAAAGTTAAATGTAAAGAGCAGGGGAGTGCTTTGTAATTTATGATAAAATTCAATACAAGAATATGATGGTTATCTTCAAGTCACCTATTTATGAATCTAGAAAACGTAAAGGTTAAGCTTCAGAGAAATGCATGCAAAGGTAAGAAGTAAGAGGAGGTGTCCAAAGTAGTCTAACTCTGTAGCAGCACAACAAAGGAAAATTTGTAGTTAAGACCCGTAATACTCATAGCTGATTTTAGTATTTTTCTTCCTCCTATGTCGTAAGAGAGATGTGTGAAGGGATTTGCAGTAGACTGGGTCTGAAAATGGGGCTAGGGAGTGATTTGTGGCAGAGGAGTGAGGAAAGACTGGACAGAGTATGCAGCGCAGGTAGTTTCATATCAAGACAGAGGAAAAAATAAGATTCCTTAGAAATAATGCCACATAGGGAGAGCAACTGAGAGTGGAGGAGAAGATTGGGTGCTGGAAAGTCTAGTCTGGGTGGTGAGAGGAGCAGAGGAAAGAATTTGACCTCCGTTGGGCCTGTGCTTCAGGGACATGCTACTCATTATTCCCTCCACCGAGCTGAGAGCATACCTCCGAAGCACAGTCTCAAAGAGATGGTGATTTTTTTTTCCAGAGAGTAAGTCATGCTAGGAGTGCTCACAGAAGGAAACAGAGCTGGTATACAGTGCTTCAGTTCTCAAGGAAGTTCTTCTCTGGGGTACTCAGTATGTTGAAGATGTGACAAACATCCAGGTAAGCACCACAACTCCACGTTTCGTCATCGCATTGTGTGGGATAGGTGGAGGTCAGTTCTGCTGTGTGCACACGCAAACTCCTTACTCTCTGCTCTGCTCTGCTCTCAGAGATATAAAACTCTGAATAAATGTCCAGTATGTAGGATTTTCAACATGTCCTTGGTTTCAGTCTCTTAAAACCCTCTGGTGGTGATACAGACACTTTTGTACTGAATTTAAGTCTGCCGACAACAGGCTTTCTGTTTTTTAATCCGCTTTAGCACATCACTTTGAAAGACACAGAGTCAGTATTCTGGTTTAGGCCGTTTAGCGTGCCTTGCCGTAGTGGAGGGCATCAGTATTTTTGTCATATTCAAAAACTTTTGAGAGCATCTTCTGAGGCACGGGCTGAAGGAACTTCTGTTATCCAGAGGTTGTATGGTTTAAAGAATCTTGAAAGAGTCTTTATGTAAATATTGAAAGATTAGTTCACATGCTGACCTAAGAAATAGGGTACATCTTGAGAGTATGAACTATTGTTTATGTTTCAGCCTTGAAAAACTTTTTTCATCCTGACCAACAGGAATGCAGGTTTAATAGTGTATCACTGATGTGTCTTTTGCTTCCTTGGTGGTGCTTCCAGACTGACTTTCAGTCAAGGTGGTAATCAAGAACTTTCTAAATATTAAAACCTTCCTTACCGTCGACCTTTCTATTGCAACCCAGAGGATTTGTTCAGACCATATAACTGTGCTACTTGAATTTTCACTCAAGCTACCATTGTCTCCTGACATCAGCTGAAAGTTCATGCTCCAAAATGCATGCTAAAGAAGTGTCTCTGTTCATCCTTAGCAAGTGCCAGCTGCTTCCCTTCTTTGTGTGTTTTGGGGAAGATTCTAGGCATGAGGTGGGAGGTAAATACGAAATTATTTCTATCCTACTGTTACCTGATAATTCAACAGCTGTGTTTTGAAGTTCTGTTGGCTAATTAAGCCACTTATCAGGGGAGGTTGACAATCATTTTTCTAAAACAGGGTAGCCCCTAGCTTCTGGGAACTACAAAACTCAGAATTTTAATTTTTAATTTTTTGTTCATAATAGAGAGATTTTGATTCATCTTTGCTTTCTGATTTCACTTAATCTGTTAGATTTCACTGCTTGCATTTGCAGCTTCTTTTCCTGTATTTGAGGACTAGGAGTTTAATTTTTGCATGCAATCATCATGTGTTCATTTAATACAAAGAGCTGAAGTTCTGAGAAAGAATTCTGAGAACCGGAATCTGTGGTTGTCTGTACATTGGCTTCTCATTTTTTTATGCAAATGTTGCAGGTAGCTAGGAGTCTGTGTTATTATCTTGTACTTTCTCTGAGAAAAATGGTACATACTTTGTTGGTTAATATTTGCAGACAGTTTTTATTGTGGGACAGTCTCCCAGGCTCCAGCTGTGAAGATGTATTTATATTTTGTGTGGGAAATAAAGAAACTACAGCTGGTTGTGCATTATCTGCTGTACCTTTTCCATCTCTGTTCTGTGTGTAGTCACTGAGCCAGTTTTAATTTTGAACTGAGCAGAAAGTTGATCCTTGGTGCTGCCTTCTGCGTACTGCTACAGAGATTCTGCAGGATGTATCTTGATGAGTTTAAACAGTAGTTCAAGTATCTGAAGTGCCAAAATGGGTGGAGAGAAGGATTAAAGTATCATAACCCTTCTCTGTTGTGCTTTCCCTGTTACAAAGTGCAAAGCTACCCATTTTATATTGCTGGCTAGAGCAGCTCCAGCACTACCCTCCATCTCTGAATTTCATTGCAGCCCCAGGGGAAGCTGCACCTCTGTGGCTCTGTCACAGCTGCTGGACTTTGATGGGGACATGCCTTCGCTCTTTCCAGTGGCCTCCCTTGGCAACCAGCCCTTTGAAGATGACCTCTTGCTGTTTGCCTGTTGTCTCTCTTGTGTTGGATTATAGATGAGAGGCTGGCATGAGGGGAGGGGGATGGGGTGGATTGTCGTGCGTTTTAAGCCTCATTTCTTTTTGCGTTCTCAACTTTTTTTTTACTCTGTGGCTTTTACCTCTCTATATGGATAAAATGTTGTCTTGCATATGGAAAATGGTTTCTGGCAGAAATGCACAGTTTCTGCTTGGCATTTGTATATAGGACAAAGGAAGTTTGATTAGTTTTGTGGTGAGGACATTGCATTCTTCCTGTAACAATCTACTTGCATTAGTTCCCTTCCCCCATCCCTCTTTTTAAGGACAATATTGTTCTTAGTTATAGGGCAGCCTTTCTCTGTGTGCATGTTCTGTGTTCCTCTTCCCTCCCTCTGGCCCCAGTGAACGCACCCTCTTGGAGACAGCACAAAATATGTCATCTTGTTAACAAAGGCTATGGTGTGAAATGGAAAGGGACACGCTAGAGCCCTGTGGCTAGGTTGCATTTTGTGCGGACACTGACTACTTTTGGAAATCCAAATGCAACCAGGCTTTGCTAAATACTGACAAGATCCTTCATGAGAGTCTTATAGTGAAACAGTAGCTGCAGGGTAAGAAGTAAGGTATTATCAGAGATCAAACAAAGCATAGGAATAAATGTCCAATTTTCACTACAGTGAAAGGTGAACAGTTGAGGTGTTTTAGTACAGAGCATTGTAAATAACAGTGTTTACACACTTTTACAAATTTTGCCATCTCCTGTCTCACTTTTTTTCTCAATGATGAAATCACATTAGTCAACCTGTGTCAGCACTCAATCTGTCTGAGGTTTCTTCAGGCTTTATTAAAGTTTGGGTGTGGAGACGAGAATAGCAGTTGACATTGCTGTTGAATATTGATGAATAAAGTCAGGAGTTACACATGTTACCAGGTATTTTACAGCAAATATGAAGAAAATAACTTGGATGTGCCTGTGTATGCAGCTGGAATGCCTCAGTGCAGCATAGCATGCAAAATTAGAAGAATAGGATGTGGGAGGTATCTGTGATCTCTGCATGTAACTAGTTCATCCTTATCTGGAATATTGCTTTTTAATTGGATCTCCTAGTATTATCTTCTCTTTGGAAAACAACCAGGAAACCCAGCCTCTCTCCTTTCACCCCAGCTAGAAACAGTAAACAAAGACATAAGCTAGTAAAAGTAATAGATTATTCCCTTGGAAATAAGAGGCTTCATGGAACAGGAGCAGGGATAAATTTGTGTTCCCTCTGCTACTTCAATAAAGGAAATCCAATATTGATATGTCTTTTCAGTACCTACCTTCTTCAAGTAATTTCGTTATTCTTATGCAACCTGAGCAAAAGGTAGGCCATGCAGATTATAACTCTGTGCCTTGTATTCTAGGAGCTACTAATGTGGGTGGTGTAGTCTGATCCATTTTGGCAATTGCTGTATACCTAAGTTTTCCTCTGAAGTAAAAGTATGATATTTACTGGATTTCATTTTGTAGTCTTCCTTCAGCCCGTGCAAGAACATTTCCCTACTCCTCCTTGTGTGGGCAAGTTTACTATAGCTACATCTGTTGCATCAGGACTGATAATTTGTCTTCCTGTCAGGACGGATGCACTTGGACTTTGTGTAGCAGATAGTGTAACTTGGGTCTCGAGTGTGAAGCGTGTAGTAAGGGAGATTGTGGTGCTTTTCCAAGTGTTTTGACCAGGATATAGATTGATATGCAGAAGGATTTTGCTTCTGGGCAGGCAGTTAGAATGTGCAGATGAATAACTAAATAATGTTGGAGTTTAACTAATGGGTTTTTTGACTGAAGCAAAATGAAACTAACCAGCAGGCTTGCTGTGGAAAAGCCAGGACTGCCTGAACAAGCATGTTTAGCTTTAGCCTCTCGCCACATGGAGAGACTGGAAAAGAAGAGAGAAGGAAAGAAGTGATTGTGCAGACTGAAGTATTTATTGAGGTGCTTTGCAGCGTAAGCAATCCCCTACGTTCTGTTTTAGAGGAAAATTATGGCTGTGTTCTGGCTTTGTAGACAGTACCATAATCAAAATGGAATTTGTGTAACAACCTTTGCACTAGTGCATTTTCACTACATACACATGGAGTGTTCCTCTGGAGCAGTCTCTTCACTGCTAAAATGTAGACTTTGAAGCAGGTCTCCTTGTATGAATGACACTTAAACTGCTGCTGTAAATATAATGAACTATTAACAACTAGTGAAACTGCACACCCTTTTGTTCCAGTTACCTTTCTAGTCCATAGATGAGCTGAAAACCTCTCTGGAACCAAAACAACTGTAGCTTCTAAAGAAATTCTTAGCACCTTTAGATCAAATCATCATGTATATATTCCACAAGTTCTTTGCCTTTGTGGCAACTAACCTGCCTTATTCCACATGTCTGGAGAACATGCAATTCTTGGAGCGGACTTCAGTGTTTACCTCTGTTGGCACATATCACCAGAAACAGAAGTCATGGAAGATAGGATTGCTGGATAATGCAAGATTTCACCACCAAACAGTGCAGATCACAAATGGATAAGAAAATACAAAACATTTTTCCTTTTAGGTTTTATCCCACCAAACTGCCCATTTGATCTTTCCCTATTCCCCCGAAGTCTGGTTGGCAAAAGTGGTAGACTGAAATTTCACACAAATGGTTTTCCTTCATTTCCTAGTATAACTTGTCTCTTTTAAGCGAACTGATTTTTGTCTAGGCATAGAATGGTTTGGTTTGGAAGGGACCTTAAAGATCATCTAGTTCCAACCCCCCTGCCATGGGCAGGGACACCTTCCACTAGACCAGGCTGCTCAAAGTCCCATCCAACCTGGCCTTGAACACTTCCAGGGAAGGGGCATCCACAACTTCTCTGGGCAACCTGTTCCAGTGAAGAACTTCTTCCTTACAGCTAATCTAAATCTACCCTCTTTCAGTTTAAAGCCGTTACCCCTTGTTCTATCACTACATGCCCTTGTAAAAAGTCCCTCTCCGGCTTTCTTGTAGGCCCCCTTTAAGTACTGGAAGGCTGCTGTAAGGTCTGCCTGGAGCCTTCTCTTCTCCAGGCTGAACAACCCCA